CCACTGTGTTTTCAGAGCTTGACAACCAACATTCATATATCTAACACATTTATTGAATTGGCCCAGAGTTTCTGCAAAGCCTTAACATAAGCATTTTATAATACTTTAGACAATTCTTGTTGTAACCATTATACTGTCCACAAGATGATAAATCTTACCCCGCCACTCATATTGATATTATTTGATATTGACGGTGTCAAAGTATGGAAAACCTAAACAGGAATGGTGATTCATTGCTTTATATTTGGCAGGTTTCTACTTCAGCCACTAACAGTAGAATAAACAGAGGAAATAGGTGTAAAAAGATTAGAAGAAACTCTCAGGAGATTTACTTTGGAACTTCATTGTCTGTCTGTATAGTGCAGAGTGCTATTCATTTTGTTTCTTCTAGTTTCTAAGTCATCTGCTAGCAGTAAAATAACTACAGAAAATAAGTGTGAAAAGGTGAGAAGTGTAAACTCTGACCATAAGTACATTGCAATTTTGTGATCAGTACTCACAATACTATATATTTTATTTTATTTTACATTTGCAACCTTTATTTTTGTTACACATTGATTACTTACCTACAACCTGGAGAATCAAGTATAATGTTACAGAAAAGAGAATAACAAATATAGTTTTACTGAAAATAAAAATGTTTGATTTTTAATTACAAGGTTTATAATTTTTCATTAGTTTTCACTATTTATTATTATAAAAGTAACTAAAATGTAAAAAAATAGAAACTTGTTAGGTAAGGTAATGAAAGAAGAATAAAAAATCTTCATGAGGTATACACGCCAGCAGCTTGTATGTTATGCTATTTGATACGGTAACATGAGCTGCACGTGTGCCATGTAATTTTGAACTTGTGTCGGGTATTTTTAGTCATACATAGTTCAAAGGTCAGTAAAAAAAAAATATATTTTTGTGGGAGTTCAAATTTTTAAGTATATAGTTAGGGAATTTACCAATGAATTTGGTTGAGTATTGGAGTCAACATTATGTGTGTAGTGTGGGCATGGATAAGTTTACAGTAGACTACAATGCTGTTTTGAGTAAAGGTCTGTTCCAGGGCAATAGTTGTCCATTGGATGACATGGGGAGTTTAATTTGGTCGTATGGAGAAGTTTTTAGTTCCCTTGGATGATCATTAAAATTGAGTGATGCCATATGTTGATTCTGGTTTGTTACAATGATAGATATTTGCTCTGAGAGCTTGAGCTTGAGAGAGAGCTAACAGAGAGAACATAACATTGTATAAAAAAATCTATAATGCTTTCCCACTCAAGATGTGTGCTGTACTTACATTGCTGTTAGTCATTCCAATAGAAAAATAAGGGATGATGTACTCAAGCTATTGCCTTAACGTACCAGTGGAAAAGATCACTGTCTACTTTCACATAGTATGTTCAACTTCACAGAAACCTTTTCCACAAGAAGGCATACATGATACCATAGTTAAATGGCACAGAACAATAAATAACTAGGGTATAAGGAACTTGGCTACTTCCTTGTCAGATTTCTATGTTAATTACATACACTTACATGTATGAAAAATTAATACACCATAAATGCTACATATCATACAGACCATGCCCTATGATCTTTATGCTGCCATATGTTGGTTACATTTGGCTGTATAATAATAATAGCTAGTAATGTCTGCTGTCACCGTACTCAGCTGTTCAATATGTTCCATGAAGTGCAGAATGGCTAAATGAAATGATTGTGTGCTTGCCAAATGGTTCTACTAACTTAAAATGTTTTGGAAATATCTTTCAAAAGTATACTTGAAGATAGCTCAGAGTTTAGTTCACTGACTTAGACATGTAATATCAATGCCAGGTTGTCTTTGTTTTTGTGTTGATTATTTTCAGTATAAAAGTGAAATATCATCAATATGTAAAGCTACAGCTTTTTTGAGCATAGTCTGAATGATCAGTCATCTGCATTTTAGATTTAATAATGGTTCACTAGATGTCTGGTTTCCATAAAAATGAATTGAGAATGTTATTAATATTATTTTATAATAGTGATTCTGCTTTGTAATAGTCAAAATGTTTATAAATTCTTGTTGTACTTTAATTATTTTTTGTAGTGTAATAAGACATATATCTGAACAAAGGCATTTGCCTAAAACTTTGTAATAGTGTGCTCTGTATATAAATATACAAATCTACACTCATCCATTTTTCTTTAATACAGCACATTATTTGACTGTTATAAAATCTGTTTCTTCTCAGCTTCAGTGGAGAATTTTTTTTGCTTTATTGCTTATGATAGTATTGGTATTTTAATTAAGACAAATTGACACGTTATTAATTTGAATCATTGAAGACTACTACATAGGAAATAAGAATAATTTATATGGTTTACTAGAATGGGAATATTTTGTGATTGAGAGCTTGTAATAACATGTTCTTGACATTTGACCTATTTGTTGTTGGTTGGTGTACATTTTTCACAGCTATTAGAGATTTATTTAAATTTTGTTGAGATGTTTACTAAGTTCTAAAAATACACTTGTAGATTTACCAAAATAGAAGATTGTTTACCAAAGCACTTTTCAGAATCTTTTTACAAGAATAAGATTAATGAGCAGTACCATGTAAGTACAACCTCTTTTTTCACTAGATAGAGAGCTATGGAATTTTCTGTATTATTCGGTCATATAAGAACATCTATTTTACTCATTTCCAGAGATGTAAAGTGTATGAGTTTACTTTTGCAAATGTCATAGCAAAATAAATTATCCACTAAGCCTAAGTAATCAATAGGTCAGTAGGCATTGTCCTTTAAATCAAATAATCACCTCCAGAGATCAGTCATGTCTACCACACACTATGAAGCACATAATCTTTTACTTGGACACCTCACCTTATACAAAAATCATGATTAAAAAGAATATATATTTATAGAATTTTTGTTCCAAAAAGATGTGATAAAACCATCCTCAGTTCTTAAAATATATATAATGAGTCAGATATTTTGAGAGGAAACACTGATTATGGCTATATACATGAACTTTAGTCAGTTTACTTTGATATCATGTTAAGAATGTAAATGAATTCACTTATTGTGACCTTTGACTGTACAACTAGACACTGAAATTTGAAATGTTCACCGTTTATCTATTACGTTGAATTTTATCTTTTATTCATCTTGTATGTGTGCTTGAGATAAATAAAACAAACATGACCAAAAATAGTATTTTAAAAATTCAAATTCACTTCTTGGAGTTATTTTGTTTAATAGCATTTGTAGTCTTTCATCAGTTATTATTTCATATGCACTACTGCTGTTACTGAATTATTATGTAACAAATTGTCTCTCATGTGGGTTTATCACATTTGTAAAAAAGTTTCACCCAACTGCTTGGTCATAAATAACATCTTTAGTGGGTAGTAAAATAATATTTATTGTCAGTTGTGTACATTGTGCTAATATTTTAGCTAACAATTTAGATATCAGTTTTATAACACCGTTGTTTCCTAGGAAAGGATTCATATTAATTTTTCTAACTTTGGAATCAATTCTGAAAATCATTGATGAAGAAAGATCTGCTTTTGATTTTAATTCGGGTCCTTTTTGTTATCTTTGTACTTGCTTTTAATTGACAAGGTTGTCAATAAGAATTGATTGATGGCACTAATGATTGGTTAAAGTACAAACAGTTGGTAATAAGATGCTTGACCATTTGATCACAGTAAAAAGTGAACACTACATTAATGTCGCTATAGTAATGTTATCAATATGTAATGCTACATTTATTGGCTTATGGTCCACTTGCAACCAGTCATACATGCATATAGTGTTTCAACAATTACCTGGTTTGAATTAAAAGATCACAGTTTATTTGAATATGGATTCATGGCACAGATTGGGAATCTGGTATATATAACCAATTAACCCTTTAAATACTGGTCCTGCCACCATAGCATAATAAACAAGTCATACTATATCTGTAATGCATCCACCATACATTGTTGGAATGACTCACTCTACTACTCCAGATGGTGCTGTCATCTTTTGATAGTTTGATTACTTTTTTTCATTTCACTTGCATGTATTGTATATGGAAGTTTGGCAAGTTTATCATCTGTGCTGTATTGAGAATGTTTGTTTACAATCGGTGTGCATAAGGTTCAGTACCACAGGCTAATAATGGTATAAATACTTCAATAAACAATCTTAGATTTGTTGAATGATGAAACCAGGTTGTAATCAACTGTTTAGGATAGATTTGTGATGTGTTTGACGTCACATGATTCAAGTATAGGCCTGCTTAATTGGCAAAAAGTATTCTGCACTCAAGGGGATAATGTTTCTTGCATATTAGAACTTTTTTTTATGAAGAACTCTGTGGTATATCTTCAAATTAGAAGTGTGTAATCCTTCATGCTCTCTGGATCTACACTCCTTAAATATTTTTTGATTATCTGTTTATGCTTTTGGCAAACAGTTTAGGCTCTAAGCAGGCTACACAGGGTTGCTTGGATCTACACTGGTTGCAGGGGCTTGAGGATATGTCATGATGTGCCATGTGGCTCTGATTAAAAAATGTTTCTTCTGTGAAACTAATAGATATAAATGATGTCACTCAGAGTTACACTTAAAAATTCTGTCTTACCAGCCTACTAAAGTATTATAACTACTTCATGGTTCTGTAAAAACTCAATTATTAAAATTTTTTTGTTATTTGATATACAATCACTTTTGGAATAAAAATGGTAATCAATAAACCTTTCAACAATGTAAATGATAATTTAAATAAATATATTATTTCAAAAGAACATCCAAACTATAATAAGAACTAGTCCTGTATAATAATTAACATATTAACTTTTTGTTTAATAGCTAAGCAGCTGTTTTTGAAATTTTAGAAATAACTGAATAGTAAAACAGATTATTACTGACCAGAAAGTCTTTATTTTTTTAACATCTGAGTATATTGACATGTATTTTGACCAAAAGGAACTCTTCTGTGTGAGAAATAATGTTTTTATACCTCTTAGGCTCATAAAACCCTTCTTGTTCCAACTCCACGACTTCGATCTGGACTGTTTAATAAGATTAATCCACCTGCAGGATGCAACAAAAAGGTTCTTCACCTTTGTGCTACATCACAGGTAAAGCATAATTGTAATGATTTGTTTGGTTGTAGAAGATTCTTATAATATGATTCAAATATTTGTATTCAGAAATATAAATTTATGGAATTTATTCTACTTAAGAGTTTTTCATAAGTGAATAAAATATAAACTTGCATGAACATTTTAACAAATTTTTGTTTACTGTATTGATGTTTGATTAAACAGTAATTTTGTTGTATGACTTTATTGATGTCTTACACATTTTAGGCCCTGAAAAAGTTATTTGCAGAATGCTGTAATAAACTGTCATAGGATTCTGAAGTAATTATTAGTAAAAGTATCACATGATTTGAAAGAAATATTTGATAAGTACTTATGAATCTTATAGATTTTTCAAACATTATAATAAGTTGAAATATGAAAATTAAGACCTCATTGCAAATGGCACAAATTAGAACTTCTTCCTACAAGATTGCATGTGATATTGTAAAAATTATCAGGAGCATTGTCCAGAATATGTTGAAGTTAGGTAGTTAAAATATTGAGCATTAAAATAATTTAAATTGATCTTGTATCAATACACTGTAACTATTTTTTTAAAAGTTAAGTGTATGGTTTTCATGTTTTCAGACTAAGACAGAGTTGAGACAAACTTTTATGTTTGATATTACCTACATGTTTTTATGTGGAATATTAGATGAGACATTGCTATACATGATATATTTTGTGTGTGATAACATTTCAAGGGTTCTACTTTCTTTTTTGGCTTCTGTTTGAATATCTTGTTAAGATAGCATGCATTTACACGTGTAATGAGCAGGCATATCTTATATTTTCTGTTTTAGTTACATAGAATTTTTAAAATTTTCATTTCCATACTTTCCTTGTTGTTATGGCAACTACAAGTGGTCCAGGAAGTCATTAAGATTACCTTGTTCTAGTTGCTTTGTTCCTTTGTTGTATATGAGTAAAGTCTATTCTGCTTAAGAGATATTGCAGGAATATATATAGTATCTAGGTTAAAAGGATTGACACTGTAATATCCTTGACTAAGTATAACAGTCAACCAGTGCTGTGAAGGAACAAAAGTCGTGAAGTGACACTGTCGACTGGATACTAGTATGTTCTAGAATGAAAACTTACTTTTAAGATCATGTTTAGTTCAATTGAAGTCTATCAAGAGAGAGAAATCTGTGGGACTAAGCACAGCTTAGTAGAAGCAACTGTCTTTTGTGTGTGCAAGTACTTATGATGTGTTTTCTTTTTTGTTTGTTCAATAAAATTATTGTTTTAATATTTGCCAACTCTGTTCACTCTCATTATTTTACACACACACTAGAAAGTTCTCTGATTGGAATGAATCCTTATTTCTTAAATGAATTTATAATTATTGGCAGATCCATCTGTCTGATACTTGTCAATAAATCAGCATGTTTTATATTGTAAACAAAGAATGAATAACTCATTGGCAATGTTAAGCTGCATTCACCTGCCAACTTTACAATTTTTTCACCCTTTTACAATGATGTACACATTTCTTATGAGTTTTAATAAAAAAAAAAATTTTAAACTACAAATTGAATTGTGACCAACATCAACTGAGATTGGAGCTCAATTAATATTCTGACCTCATGGCCTATCATTATTTTTTTTATTGTTCTCATATATTTGTTCTTCATTCGTGATTGGAAACAAAGAATGATAATGAGGATTTTTTTTTTGCCATATATGTAAATTTTTTGCTTTTACTCTGTGCTTAGAAACAAAATGTGATGTATTAGTACAAGACACTCACAATTCAGAGCAATAAAATTATTGACCGCAATGGTGAAAATCAACAACATTTTCAAAATCCTAATTGGGAGTGTTAACAAGGAATAATGTGAATGGAAAAGATCTTGTATGTATCAAACACACAGAAGCTGTTAGAGATTTTTCAGGTAAACTTCAATCCTATGGATATGGGCTTGTTATTATACATGGCCTTGTAACCATCATGAATGAAATCATGATCGTATATGAACAATAACTCTGAAAGTACTTATATTCTCACAAAATTTGCCATGCTTTTAGTAAAGATTACAAGTATTTTGTAAAAAGAAATCAGATATTTTATTGAAGTATTTTTACTAAAGATTTGCCTGTGAATATATGGAAACAAGAGTGTTGACTAATCCAAAATGTGAATTCCATGGTAAGATTAATAATACTTTTTTTCATCTTACATTTTTCAAATTTAATTTTTTTAACCTCTTAAAACAGGGGTAGCCAATGTAAGATTAATAATACTTTTTTTCATCTTACATTTTTCAAATTTAATTTTTTTAACCTCTTAAAACAGGGGTAGCCAACCTTTTTTGTGTCACGGGCCAAATTTTGATTACCGGAGTCGACCTGGGCCACATTCAACTTTAAAATACAGTGCTGGTAAAAAAAAGTGGCCACCCTGACATCCTGAGCTTAGTATTTTTCAATGCTCTGATACAGCTCTCATTTGGCTGTGGTCACAAAGAATCTTATATCAATAGATAGAAAACTTTCTTGGCTTTTATATGATGTACTTTACTTTTGATATTGCACCATTAGGTGTTCTCTAGAGACCAAAAAACAAAAATTCCATAATTTTTTGTCAATCGAGTTTC